TACGTCCATACCGGCGTTTGCAAGGACATCGCTGTTTGTAGTGCTGTCTGGCCACTGTATGTTTATGATGGAGCTCAAGCATCTTTGGTGAAAGCGTTCAAGTTATGTTAGTTGTTTTCTGTTTAATAACCACGTCTCAGATCCATATAGAAGGGTTGAGAGATCTACTGCTTGGTAAACACTTTTTTTTTGTAGGCAGCCGGAGCGATCTATTCCGCCAACTCACTCCTGGAGGCTACCAAAAGCACTATTGGTTATGGCCTGACGGTTATCAACTTCCGTGAAAGCGAGGTGTCATTCGATACTATGTTTCCTAGATATGAGAAGTGGTCTACCCCGTTAAGGGGACGCCCATTTACGGGGATCTTTAGGGCTGAGTAGGTTTTATTGGGTCACTTCTGGAACATTATTTTGCTTTCCCAAGGTTTATAGATAAACAGAAAGAAGCGGGATCGCATTCGAATTCGTTGACAGCCATCTGGAGATCGTGTTCATTGTAGGCTAGCAGGGCGCAATCATCGGCATAGAGAAGCTCTATTATGACCATTTCTTTTGAAGATTGCCGTCCGAACAAAACGTGATGTCGATGCCTTCTTGCCTTCATTTGACCCAGCATTATGCCAAAGAAGATGAATGGAGTAGGAGCAAGTACATAGCCCTGCTTCACGCAATTTTCTATTGAGAAATGATCGACATGTCACCATTATGTTTAATCTTGCCATTTTGTCCCACATGAAACTGCTTGAGAATGGATAGGAGCGTAGTTGGGCAACTGAGCCTGGCCAAAATCCTCAATTAACCATTGACCGTGTCGAAAGGCTTGGTGAGGTCCACAAAGGCAGCGAATATATAGGTTTATATAATGTACTAGATTTAAATCTAGTCTAAAATCAAGACTGTCTAAGACTCTAGATCAAGACTGCCTAGAGTACCAGTAAATTCAGATTATCTTAGATTCTGTTTCTTCTATATTTATATCCTAGATACATATTCTAGAAGTAGATCTATACTGATTCTATAGTTACAATTGGAATTCAACGTGAATATTTATGATTATATAGATACAGATTAAAACTAGATTTGATAGATCTATGACTATTATGACAAGGCCCATGGCATGTGTGAGATCAATTTTTCAAAGCAACAATAATTAATGGACTTCATCTAAGACAAATTCATTCCTATATTCACATGCGATTTTTTTTTATATTTATAAGCTTAGCATTATTTTTGGACCCAATGTCACACAACGACTGATAAGAGATATCAGGTAGAAACATCAGGAGAAAACAAGACCCTTAACTCAAGAAAACATTCAAACGATTTGGCTTCTTGTGTTGAAAATTTAGCCCCCCCCCCCCTCTTTTCCCAACTGGGGCCAAATAAAAAAGGTTGAATACCACTGTCCCAGACCTTAACAATTTTTGTTCTGTAACTATAAAATGTTGCACACCATAAAAAAACGGCATCTATATTATGAAAAAATGTGTTGTTATGTCCTGGAGGTGGGGTTGTCTACGAATATTTGATTTGTGAAATTGTGTAGGCCTACATATAATATTTACATAGGATTTTTACTAAATTATTAAATTTTCACTACCTTTACTATTTTAACTGTGAATATATAGACCTTGTTTTTAATAACTTAACTAAATTTTAGCCCTGGTGGTATGAAGGGAGAGTAATCTTTTAGGGATTACGGGCACGACATGGTCTAAAGTGTGCCGATGTGCCATAAAACGCATATTCGTTTGTTATGAATCTCACTGCTCTATTTTGTTTCTGTTTCATAATTGTTTTCTTTAGTTGACGGGTCCCAAAAAGAGGATGCATATTCTATTATTGAACTATAAACTATGTACTATGTTAAATAACATATTAGTTATATGTTCTTATTTGATTTATAGATATTTCTTGGAACAAACCTTAATGTTTTGTACTTCCTAATCAAAAAGCATTATGAATACAAAAACAAAATTTAATAAAATACTCAGAAAGACACAAAGATAAAGACACATTTCTCGTCCCATATGCTAGGACAAATTTGTACAAATACTCCTTCTTCCCTAGTGCTATTAGAGCATGGAATGGGTTGCCTGAGCTAGCCAGGAAAACCAGTGACTTGGCAGAATTTAAGTCATTGGTCAATATGCATGACTGAATGCATGACGCGTAGGACGTAATCATCTTTTTTGAAGTAACGTCTGTATTATATAAGATAAGATGAATACGATTTACACAAATTCTGGAAATGTGAAATGGCGTTTGCAACTTACATAAAGTGACTAGCTTGATATAATTTCTAGATCTATAGGCTACACGAATAACTTTTGACTAGCTATTATGTTATATGTCATAGGCCTAAACGAGATACTCCCAGGCACCATGTTACCTTAACTGGCATAGAGGAAAGTAGAAGGCAGTAGAAACAACATAGACCAGTCTTTTGCTCTGGCATCATTCGCTGCAATAGAACTGGATCTACATTTTATCCTTGCCACTGCATTGCTGTGCCGTAGTAAAATTGAGTGTATTCTTTTATGGCTGCAGAGTTTTAGTTGATAATAAAAGGTAGATCAGGTTTCACTTGATGATGTAACTAATTTTCAATTTCTGTGCCGATCCAAACACATGTAAATGTAAAGTACGGCTATTAGATATTGGAGATTTCCAAGTTCAATTTAAAATGTCAATTAAAAAAAAAAAAAGAAAGAAAACGGCTAATATTCTTAGTGAAAGCACTAGCCTATATCACCTGCTAAAGTAGTGAAACTATTATCTTATCTTATATAATACAGACGTTACTTCAAAAAAGAAGATGATTGCCATCATATTACCTCTTCGCTATCGTTTGCTCAGGTTAGTCAAGTAGTTCTCTAAAAAAAAAAAAAAAAAAAAACAACTTTGTAAAACCATGTTGACTTCATAAGCTTGTTATATAGGTTGGGCACACACACACAAGGAAACGATGAAGTACTAACAACCCAGACGTCTGTGTTTAAAACTTTATTGACATCAATACAAGATCCAGTAACCTAGTTCTCTCAGACCATCCCTGCAGTGATTGAAATGTCTCTGGCCCTGTACACAAGTCTCCCCTATCAGACCGCATTTGTTATGTACACATTATTTGTTTGTATCAGAGAAAAACCAGAACAAATTAGATCCAACACAATATGACGTCAAAGATATCAAAGAGAATAAATTGAACAATGTTGATCTAACATGATAAGACCCAGAAGACTTCAATTTAATTAACCTTAAAAACAATGAAAAAAACTCATTCAGCTCTAACCTGGTTCAAAACTTAAAGTTTAGGGATAAATAAAAGTTCAAATATCACATTGTTTCTCATCCAGTGATCAATTAATAAGACATGACTCGCTTTTAAAAGTCAGGGGGGAAAAAAACATGAAGATAATGCCATCCAAAGAAAAGTTGGATGGACAACATGAAAAAATGGACCAGCCTCTCTCTTAATATTCTGCTAATGACAGCTGAAGGCCAGAAAAAGTAGAGGGATTTGATGACACAAACTGTCACTGTGCAATGAAAGTCAAAGGACTGATGAGGTCCTCATTATGTCATCAAAACTGCTGTGGTCTGTGAAGAGGGCCAAATATAACTATGTGGTGGCCCTTTTTTTGTGGGAGCCCCTGGGCTATGACCCTACTTGCCCTTCCATAGATCCAGCCCTGTGTGTGAGAGAAATTATTTTTAAAGGTCTAAGAAAAAAAGCTGACAACTTTAAAGGGATGAGAGCCAATAAGTAATGTCATTAGACCCCCCAAAAGTGCGCACATCTATTCTAAAACAAAGATTTCAAGCATATTTCCCATATGAAATGATAAACTTTATTGTTGATTGGACAAATCTATTTTAAAAGTTATTCAGAACAAGAATTATACAAACAAAATACCTATCAAAACATTACAGTATACGCTCACTACACTAGACTCTTTTAATCCACAGATGCTAAAAAGACACAAAAAAAGCAACAAACTTTATAAAAACATAAAAAAAAAACCAACATAAATGAGATTGAAAATATATAGAGAGATAAAAACTGGTAAAAAAAAATTCAGATAAATTCAGTGGGAAAACTTTGTACTACAGTGAAGTTCAACACATTTGAAAATACTGTTGACTAAAAATATGTAAAAACAAAATTAAAAAACTCAACTAAAACACTAAGAAAAACTGAAACAAATATAAATCACTTTTGTACTACACTTGAGTCAGTGTACAGATTTGTAAATGTGAATTAGCACAAAATGTAAACCATCTGGGTTTATGCACCCCTGACTTCCCAATTCAGGGACATGAAATGAAATGTCAACTATTTGTAAAGCTCTTAGTGGTACAAAAATATAATAATTTCAAGACAAGGAAAACAAAAAAGCTACAGAAGTGAGAAAGTGTAGATGTGGGGAGCTGTGAAACCAGCAATTAGAATCTGCAAAACCATTTGGAGGGAGAGCATTCCATCTCAATCCTCTGAACAATCACAGTGTTTCCTATAAATAATTGAATCAACGTGTGTCACAATATGTACCAAAACTATTTACATTTTAATGTTACATCAAACTGTTACCCGTTCTAGCAAAATGAGTCTTTAAGTGACCAGCAACCAAAGAGTACAACAGTCAAGAAGGAATTTTTTTTCTTCTCAATTAACTTTGTAACAAATTAATATTTCTTAGCCAAACACATTTTTTAAAAATAATTTTTCCTTATATGTTAAAAAAAAGTTGAAAGTGTTATCACACTTTGAACCTATGACCTTTCTTTAACCAAAAAAAACAACAAAAAAAACATGAATCCTTTAAAAACAAAATGTTGATGAAGCAGGAAAAGTGTTTTGTAACGACTCATTTTTCCAGAAAAGAATAAATGAATGTGTGTACAGCAGTGATGCCCAAAATACGGCCCGTGGGCCAGATCCGGTCAGCTATGTGCTTCCATCCGGCCTGCCGAAACGTTGGCACAAATACAGAAATTCCCCCCCCCCAAATGTTCAAAATGCATCTTTATCTATGTTAGGGCCGTCAACTTTTTCTAATGGATTACTAACAAGGCATTAAACATTTGTGAGTTCATGTACTAGGATTATAGAATCTACAAGGAAGAGTGAACAAATCTTTACTATTTTGTAGCACATGATACCATTGCTAGCCAACATGTTTGTTTTTATAAAAAAAGTCTGGCTGTTTTAAAAAAAATAACAAGACTAACAAAATATAAACAAAACTTGTGTCATTTTTTGAAGTATAAAGAGAAAATTCGAATCTCCCAATACTTCAATGTAAGTACTAGATCCTCGGGTTTGAAATAAAATAGTTTCAGGTCAATTTCATTCAGTTTTTTTTATCTTTTACATCATGTGACCCGCGACACTAATGTTGGAAATCAAAATGGCCCGCAGATTGAATTAGGTTGGGCATCACTGGTGTACAGCAATATACTATGTACACAACAAATGTATGTGTGTATGTGTACTCCAATACACTATGTACACCAATATATAATGTGTTGATGCTGTATACTCATACAAACATAGCTAATGGCTTCTTTCATTTTACCATTGATATTATTTTCCATATGGTACAATAATAACACAGAAACAAATAAATACAAATATATATATAGGTAAGTATGTCTCTATAAATAGCATGTGATTAACTAAGAGGTATATTCTCTATACCAGAGTTAAGCATCAGCTCTAAAAAAGGCAGAGGAGTTACCTCCTTGCCATAAACTAACATGCTTGCTCCAACAATACCAGGTAGTGCTCAAATATTGCTCCAACAATGCCAGACAGTGCTCGAATATTGCTCCAACGATGCCAGGCAAAGCTCCAATATTGCTCCAACGATGACAGGCAAGGCTCCAATATTGCTCCAACAATGCCTGGCAAGGCTCCAATATTGCTCCAACGATGCCAGGCAAGGCTGAAATATTGCTCCAACGATGACATTCAAGGCTCCAATATTGCTCCAACAATGCCAGACAGTGCTCCAATATTGCTCCAACAATGCCTGGCAAGGCTCCAATATTGCTCCAACAATGCCAGGCAAGGCTCCAATATTGCTCCAACAATGCCTGGCAAGGCTCCAATATTGCTCCAATGATGCCAGGCAAGGCTCCAATATTGCTCCAACAATGCCTGCCATTGTAGCTGCAACATTCCTCTAAGGTAGATGACATTCAAGGCTCCAATATTGCTCCAACGATGCCAGGCAAAGCTCCAATATTGCTCCAACGATGACAGGCAAGGCTCCAATATTGCTCCAACAATGCCTGGCAAGGCTCCAATATTGCTCCAACGATGCCAGGCAAGGCTCCAATATTGCTCCAACAATGCCTGCCATTGTAGCTGCAACATTCCTCTAAGGTAGATGAAGAAGAGTTACAATTCAAAGTAATGCTGGGGTATCTTAACAATAACAGTCGACCTCAGGGGACAAGTTGAGGTGAAAGGTTACAACTAAAGTAGGTACATTGGGTTAGTAAGGTAGGAGGAAAGGGAGGATTAGGGAAAAAAAGGGGGTAGGGAGGGGGCTACATGATTTTAAAAAAAGAAAAAGGAACACTAGAATGTTCATAAAACAAACAAAAGGAGGACTATCACTCAACTATCAATTCAAACAAAACATTTTATTGTCATTGCTATGTTGTCTATATTTATAAATATTCCCAAATGGACAAGCAAACAGATAACTGAACAAGCTTAAAAGTCTCAGCCCACAAACTTTGAGATTTTTTATTTATTATTCTTAAGAAGTCTAGTTTTAATCTTGACTCGTGTATAAGTGTAAAATTAGATAAACTTATAAAGTTGGCCTTGTACAATGTAGAACATAAATCACTGTAAATAATTCTATAACATAAATATTAAAATGTAAAATGGAACTTTATAATAGAAGATCCTTCTATAAAACAAAAACCACTAACAGAAAAAAAAAAAAAAAAAAAAAAAAAAGCAAAACCTTTGCTATAAATAAAAAGGCAATGCATTAAAGTATTTGTCTATTGTAATAAAGTATAAACTCATGACTTCACAAAACTAACCGTATTGATGATTGGTTTAACTCCATTTTACCCTGGCACTATCTGATTTGAATTATCTGGTTGAAGAGACATTAAAATGAATACAATCTCTATCTTATACCCAACCAACTCTAATGTCAGAACACACTATAAAAAGCCAGATCTAAAATTAACATGAACATATGAAGAATTTTTCAAACCTACATTTGTAACTAATTGGAATTGAATTGCACTAGTATTTGGTTACATTTGTAGAAACAAAAACATTTCTGACAGAGAAATGACTCTGAAAAAACACTAAAAAAAAAATCCAACACATTACTGCCAACTTAAAACCTGACCAGAGCCTAAGTGAGCAAAAGCTTTCATTTTGAGTTGCTTTTGAAACCATGAGCTAAAAGACAATGAGCAACTTAAAATATCAATGATCTAATACAATCAACACATAACAACATATCTAATACATTTGACATCAACACATCCAATGTCTACATCATTGCCACATCAAATACATGAAACGTTTTAAGAACATTTTTTTGTGCTACATCAGTAAAAACAGTAACAAATAGATCTACTTGCACTTTTCACATTGAAACAAATCTTTTTCATTTTCTGAATACTGTATTTTAAGTTGTTTCTCAGCACTTAACAAATCAATAAATGAAGTGACTGAAACGTTGTAGATGTATTTAAAACCAAAATGGAAACACTCACAGACCAAACAAGTTTCCCCAAAGAAGAATGTCATAATGAGAAATTTTGAATAAACATTTTTTTGTAACCTATTTCTCATTAACAGCTAGTTCTTTAAGCTGTAGCTACTTGTAAGCAGTTGGTGTTTTTCAGAAATAGAGTCAAGTTTCCAAATGTTTCCTTTTATTTCAAGGAAGTGTTAGTCTTTTTCATCAGTACCAGTATCAGAAAACTATCAGCTAGACTTAAGGTAAAATTAATGTATGGCCTATTTAATGGAATCTATAGAGCTCTTTAACAAAAAGTGACAGTGATTTATATACAATTGGGGTTGAACTGTATCATATTCTAATTTTCATGCCCAAAAAAATATTAGATTTATCTTAAAACAACTTCCCAAAACAAAAAAAGATTAAGATGATACTTTTATGAGCCAGTAGAAAAGTGACAAAAGTATACTTCCGAACTATTGATTATTTGACAGGTCTGGCATGTCACCTTCACATTGCTGTTATGATGATGTGGTGTTACAAAAAAGTTTAGGAAGCTACTAATTGTGTCACTTAATGTCACAGAACTGTGGCATCCAAATTAATTCCGATCAAGTTTCTTTTGCAATTAATATTAAAAATGATAATATCTACAAAGACATCAAACATGTAATCTTGCAGAGTTACATCATGTTACATATATATATGGTAAATTAACAAAGTAATACTGGATTCTCACTAGTCCATAGTGCTCTATTCACTATGACAAGAGTTAGGCATAAATCTATTCTCTTCTGCCAACAAAAGACAGGAAGATCCATGACCTGATAAAGCATATCAAGCTAATCTCTTTGACAAAATGGAGAACAAAGGATGTCATGAACATTAAAAGCTATCAATTACAATCATCTGAACACAAGGATCATTCAGGTTTTGTTCAATATATGGTCCATAGTAAATGCACAACAAGTGAATTGAATATCTGGTACTGCCTTATCACCAAGCCAGACAGACATGTGGATGAACTACTGCCAGCCGAAATCACATTCACAGTAGAATATCTTTTCCTTTTTACAGTCTACTTATGTTTTAGTACTGACTAGGATTGCTTCCCTTTCTCACACTGTGTCTGTCTGCGTTACTTCCTTTACACATGTAAGCAGCGATAGGCTTTCAATTCTGACAGTGAAAGTTTGTTCTTAAGTAGAAGGAAGAGGATATCACTATATTATACGAATATTATAATATCAATACATAAAAACATTTTCAAATATCAATCAATAATCTCCACATAAATACATATGTGAGCTGTACATAGGAGTCTATTCAAACAATTAATACAACTTTGTAAATACAAACAAAGGAAAACATGAATGAGTATTTTGCCCTTTGCATACCAACTGACTGAAAGCAGCAGTTTTGTCTCCCGTGATAGGGTCCAGTGTTGGTTGAAGCACTGGTCAATGCCCGGTGTTCGTTGAAGCATTGAACAATGTCCAGTGTAAGTGGAAGCATAGCATGCAACAGCATACCTTGTCCAGTGTTTGTTTGGCCAGCAATCATGCTTAAACCAGAATATCAGTTTCTGTCACATCCTCCAGAGCCATTCTGTAGTCAGGTGGGGGAGTAGAGGCCATAGGGCTTAGATCAGAATGGTACCCGCTTGAGGTGACAGACTCAAACCTGTTGGGACCGAGCCCATTTCTTGCTTTCAGCAACCGCGGCTTCCCTTCATCTAACAAGGGTTGACTAGAAAAGCTCTCCTCCTGCTCATCATCAGTCACATGTTCTGTTTCTGGCAGGTTAGGCTGGATGGGAGACGACGGTGTACAAGTATGTGACTCTGTGGCAGATGATGGACGAATTTGGTATTTCGCAAAAGGGTTGGACTGGTTTGAAAACGTGCTAGGAGGATGGCTGCTGGTTCCACCATAGTTTTTTGGTCCACCCTGTGCAAGCAGCTTTGAGTTCATCACACTCGGTACTGGGGCAAGGGAGCCATAGGTCATATTGCTTACTCCACCAATCCCACCAGTCCTTCCTACATTACGGTAATCAGCCGGGTACGGCCAGGCATGGGCCTGCTTCCTGTTGGCATCGGAGCTAGGTGGTTTACGAAGCTGGGGTAGTCTTGATTGAAGAAACTGGGGTTTTGCATCGACTTGTGAAAAGGAAGACTCTTCCTGAGTTTCCTCGTCAACCTCTTCAGTGTACTTTGGAGGCATACTTAATGGTGACATTGGAACGAGGTAATCATCATTGTCCACATCAGCAGGTGCCATCCCAGTACCATCATAACTGCTGCTATGTCCACTGTCATTGTCTTCTGGTTGATTTACTTCAACAAAAGTTGGCTCCTGCAATAGAAAATGTTATTCTATACATTTAAATGAAAAGATATTTAGTATTACAATTTAATGTAAGTTGATAAGTTGAAAATATAAACCAAAAACAGCTTGTTTTTAATCAAGGCTTCGATTAATTGATTACATGAAAACACAGCCTACAAGAGTAGGTGGCCAGACATGTTAGAAAAAATATACTGATCATGAAGCAGGCTAAAGTGCTCCAAGGGCCATGGAACTGTTAAGATGGAGGAATGAAAAATTAAACAAAAAATGAATGCGGTACAGTCATTTTTAAAAATTAATAGAAATCTTATTAAAAAAATCATATTTATATAAGTCATGTATACAGTCATAGGCTACATATTGTTAAGTTTTCTTGGTTATATAATCTAAAGTCATGTATACTATTGTATTAAAAGTCTAGCAGAAAATCAATCTGTGGAGTAACTGTATTCAAATTAAAAAAAAACTTACATGCATACAAAAAACTGCCTGAGAAAAATTCGAAAATAATAGGTATCTCTTCTTGATCAAAACTATTTAATTAAAAGTATAGGAACATTTGTCAAGTCAACTTACCTGATCATCAGGGGAAAAGCCAGGAGCCATCATTTCAGGGACAGAGAGTCTATTGTTTGGTTTGTTCAAAGGGTCTAGTTCATATATATTTTTAGCATTTTCATGCTTCCAACGATGAAGGTTGATGTAACGACTGGGTTTGGTTTCATTGACCTTCAGAAACATTAAGATACAATTAGTCATATCAAACATTGACTTTGTCAAAGAATCCTATGAAATATAGCTAGTCAATGTGGTGTACAAGAGATCTGGGGTTGGAATCAGATTTAGACTTAGTTTTTAGAAAACCAGCATACTGAGACATGGTATTATTTTGGTCATAGATGAAAGATTGTTCAGTATTGATCGCTTTCTTATCATTGATGAAAGTTTGAGGCACTTGTTCAGTATTCAATGCTTACTGCCTGTAGACTCCTTTAATGATTATGTCCACACAAATATTCAATGTCAGACTGATTCTTGTAACAGTAAAGGTTAAACAGCCAGAATAAGTTAAAATATTTCCAAATTGGCTAAAAAAAAAAGTTTATAAGGACTAAAGAGACTTAAAGAAAAGTCAAAGCACTTTGGATACTGGTACTTTGACCCACTTAAATTTATATGAGGTCTTTTTGTATTTATGCAGATTATTTTTGTTCATACTGTATACCTTTCAATTAGAACAACTTTAAAAAAAGAAATGATGTTTTGAAATAATGAAAATCACAAAACAAATGAGAGGTGTCTATCAGTCAGTGTTTGTCCATCACTTGGCATGACCACTTTGGTAAGGCCATTGGACATTAACACGTAATGTAAGATTTCAAACTATGATAAGTTTGAAATCAATCAACAGCAGTATGTTTTATGATTAGTGAATGCCACAGGTGATCTCTAGCTTGTTATGAATAAATGAAAGGGGCAAAAAGCAAATGTTCAATCTTTTATTTGAAATATCAAAATTTGACCAAAAAAGATTTTGAATATAAGAAAAAACAAACAAACTAGAAAGTAAAAGAGAATTAAAGATGACTAAGTTTGACATATCTAGTTCCCATTGTATTTACATAGCTACTTGTACATGTAGAAATGCAGCTAGTGTGCTACTTTCACTTACCTCTGTAAATTTAGCCCCATTTGAAGACACATTGGACTCATTACTGTAGTCAGGGGGAAGAGCGGAGGACATTTTGAGGTAACCATCACTGTCAGTGGCAATTTGGGAAGCATCAGCTTCCCCGTCCCCTGCCATCTTCATGTAGGACAAGTCCAAATAATACTAAAAACATAAAAAAACAAAACTTGTCAACATCTTACACTTCTTTACAAATGTCCAAGAAACAATTTTCTAAAGGGACATTATAAAGTACTAAACAAATACAAACATTTTCAGAGAGTGCAAGTTATGCAAGCTTAAAGTAACTATAAAAAAAAACTAAAAATATTTCATTCAAAGCCATTGGAATTGAAAACTCATTAGTGAATCCTTATCCCAGGACCCAATGATTTATGTTATAGGAAAGAATTAAGCTCTAAAAATTTAAGTTTTTCACCTGGACTGAAGCTCAACATTGCTACTTAACAAGTTAGGCACTATTTTACTTAGCCATTAGGCTTGTCCCCACAAAGAACTTATAGTCCTCAATTGAATAAATGCAGCAACCAAAGAAAAATGGAATCAGGATAATACTATGATTAGATAATGAAACGTTGAAGAGTGACTTGCTAAAACCTCCACTACTCACCTGTTTGACATTGGCTTCAAGAAAATCTCCCATACTGGACACAAGTTTAGAAAATGTAGGTCGATCATCTGGGTCATCTTTCCAAGTCTCCAACATGACCTTGTACCTAAATGCACATAAAAAATCGAAAGAATTCCCTTTTTATATGTGTATTAAAAAATAGATAAAATTAAAAAAAAAAAAATGGGGGGGGGGGGGGGGGGGCTCTTTTCTAAAGATGTGTATTAAAAGAACTATTCTGCTATCTCTAGAGCTAAAGTGTTACCATGATAGCTGTGAGACTGTTGCTGTCATGGTAGATATGATCTTGCGATAGTTTAAGTTAATAGACCCACTGCTCTCATAATAGATATAGACCTATTGTTCATGTGATATAGACCTAT